AGAATTATAAAATAATAGTTTATGTATTAATGATTGTGCAACTATCATTTATTAAATTTAAAAAAAGTTATTGAGAAGATGCTTATGCAATGGTATATATATACAATATCTACAATACTTGAACAAGTTAAAATGGTATTATATGCCTCGCATATTATTTAATTAATATTAGTGTAAATATTAAAACAAGTATGCTTGCATATATTAATTAAATTTTAGCTAGTGTTAAAATATATATATATATATATATATATATATATATATATATATATATATATATATATTGCAAATTCAATGATTTTACTTTGAATATTTTTTTCATAATATTAGTTCCAGCAAGCATATATACATCAATTATATCATCACCCTAGAATTAGGTAACACCATTCCTCCCCCCCTAAATATTAGGGTCAAAATTGTCTTTTAGTTTAACTATTATTCTTTTATTAAAAAGACGAGAGTAATTTAGATATTTCATAGCATTTTTTTGTACAAACTTATATATGGCTGTCAATAAGGCAAATCTAAGGAGTTGTCATTGTAATTGATCCAAATAAAAAATAAAAAACAATACAAAAGCCGGTGTCGTTTAGGATGGAATTGATTTTTGTGCTACGGGTATTATTTGATAAATTTTGAAATTAAGTAGTAAATTTTAAAATTGAACTTAAGTTCTAAAATTAAAAATGAAAGTTTCGTTTTATATCTATATATATGAACTGTAGATGTTCAATTTTTACTATAATAATGAAATTTACATAACTTAAAATTTTAATGCCTTTGATCATTCGATCGCAACTCAAATCCATATTGCTATAACAACTTCTTTAAATTATTGGCCCATTTAATCGAACTTTATAAAATTGAATGAAAACAAGGTACGTACCTTTTTTGCAGTGTTCTGTATTTGGAGGGCCATCGGAGCAAAAGCATGACAACTCATTATTCGCGTACCCACAGAGCGCACAAGACTCATTGCATGCCCTACACTCTGTCGCGTTCCCCCAATCTAGCACAAAATCCTTGTTGATGGCTTCATGGGGAGTCATCTTGTCGCGTTCCCCCAATCACACTTTAGATGGTTCATCACATAACCATTGATCAAATCAGATTCGTTGATCTCCGTCTTCAACACCTATGTCACCACTTTCTGCTCACAGTAATCGTGCCAATCCACGCCATTCGGATCTTTCCCCGCCACAAAAACATAGGAGTTATTCACACCCCATCCAAAGCATCCTATAGGAAGATAAACGGTATCTAAAGTGTGATCTTCACAAATAAAGTAAAAACTAAGATTCAAATCTAATTGGGAGTGAAACAATGGAACTGTACTGTCAAGAATAAGGTTGCGAAGCTCCCTAGGGCACGTTGGGTCGGTGGTAACATAGCTGTCGACGAGGTTGAGGTTTTTAGTGTCATAATTTATACTTTCAACGTAGTAAGCAGCCTCGTTGTTGGAGAGGTGGAGGATGGGCTTCTGATCACTGGAGCAAAGGATGCCGAGGCCCCGGTAACCACAGTGATCACTAGGGGTTGCTGCGATGCCGTCTAATATTTGCCAAAACGGGTAGCTAATGTTAACGTCACCACACATGGTCCAATTGCAGTTTGTGGCTATGTTGTTGCCATAGGACGTGAGGAAGAAGAACAAAAACAGATATGAAGAAAGGAGGAAGAGAGGTAATTGTGACATGCTGGAAATGTTCAATTGCACAAGGTAGTATTCAAGCTACGAATAAAATACCCTTCTTATATGTGTGTGGGACTATGGGGCCCGGATTTTATGTAATTACTAAACTGCCCCTTGACAAGTTCAGATGATGTGTAACTTGCCTGGAATGTAATTGTGTTAACGTCACCACACATGGCCCAATTGCACTTTGTGGAGAATGAATCTATTTCCTTTGCCATAGGTGGTGAGGAACAAGGAGAAGAAGAAGAGAGAGGAAGCAAGGAGGAAGATAAATAGATATATGTGTGAGATATTTCTCACACAAATAGGTTTAGATATATGTGTGAGATATTTCTCACACAAATAGGTTGACTTACGTAATTACTAAACACTCCTTCGCTTCTCTAGTCTTTAATTAAAATTTGAAAATTGCCACCAAGCGTGTGGAGTATTATTCTTCTTCATCAACACCAAGTGGATTTTTCAAATCTTTCAATTGCATTTAGGGGTTATTTGTCATTTTATAAAATAAAAAAAAAAAAGGTTAATTCCGATTAACCCCATAAACTCCTTATATAGTGAATTAATTTTCATAAGAAATAGAATTGAAGGGAAAATTGCATGCAAATCCACGAACTTTCAGCATGGATTAATGAGTCATTGGATCAGTGTAGTCCATCTCTTCATCTCTTGGAAAGTTACTTTCTTATCAATTGGACCATAAGTGAGAACCAAATGTGGTCAACAAAGAAGAATTGTGATTTATTGGAAGGTAACGTTGGTGTTATTATTACATATGTTGTGTTCCAGGATAAATTATTAGGTGATCCAAAATTTTCCTTGTGAAAGGTGCTCTAATCCAGTCAACCTTATAAACAAAAAATAATATTGTAGTAATAAAAATAAATAGATTCAAAAATTTTAATAAAACATTATATAAATTATATATATATATATAACAAAAAACTTAGAACATAAATTTTGATCAGACTTACTATCAAGTGACATAAACAATATATATATAATTTCTTAAGTGGTTCATGAAAGTAGTACAAAGGTAATTAGAATGTGTGTTTATATATACACACATTTAACTAGTCTTGAACGTTGATGTGTAACTGGTTCAAGTATAGTATCAAAATATAATTGTTAAATAATAACGTTGATGTGTAACTGGTTCAAGTATAGGATCATAATATAATTGTTAAAAATAAATAAAAAATTAGAATATCTTGGGAGATAAGTATTGGAATTTATATCAGCTGTAATTTGGCCTAAAATTTATCCACGTAACTTTCCATTTGTCATCATAATTCTTGTATCATGTGATAAACAATTATTTTTTGAAAAAATATTTGGAGTCCATCAAATTCTATTTCATTTTATGAGGTGAAATTTTTTCATTAATGAATTGGAATTCTAACTATATAATTATATGATTAAGATTCAGTTACGCATATCAAAAATTTTAAAATCATGAAAACTTTGGTGAAACCCTAATGTGATGTGCCTGAGCGCGTCTCTACATTTAATCCACATGGTTCATTGATATGATGAAGTTCAACCATTGGTTAAAATAAAAGTGGATTCGCAGAGCCTTATCGGCAGGTCTACAGTGGAACACAATCCTTTCCTATAGTAGTTTATCATGGTATATTTGTCTACTTGTTCAAAACCACCATGTTTGGATGAATGAGAAATTGTATCCCAAAATGAGTTGTTTAATAAATTTAAAAATGATATGTGAGAAGGTTGGTTCCTTGTGAAACCATATGCGTGTATACATAAAAGTGTGGTAATGAGATGTCATTTTTCACTGGTTTGGTGGGTTGAAAAGTATCTTTTTATTTTAAGTATAGTACATTTAAGACTCAAATTATCATCATTTTTTAATTTCAAATATATTTTTTAAATCTTAATTTATTTCATGTTAACACTTAATTTTTTAAGAATTTGGTTTTAATGTTTTAGAAATTTGCTTTAATTTTTTTATTTTTTTAATAAAAGTTGTGTTCAGGTGTTTTCTAATATTAAACTAACTTAAGATCACATTAAATTTTCAGCGTGATAATTTTCTAATACAATTTTAGCTTGAGTTACAAACACAAGTTAAAAAAATTTAAGAATGGGGGCATTAACTAGTGACGAGCGGATACATAAATCTGTTGTTTTCGTTACGATCTCAATTCACTAGTTTTCACTAGTTTCATTTGATGCATCCGATTACATCGGAGTTGTACTTCCAACCCACACGAGTTACATGAGTTTCACAATGTTGCATATACTTTTTGAAATTATGACGAATGTGTTAAATGCATACAAAAATTATGATTCATTTGGTATAACTTTTGCTTCTACTCCTAAGTAGCAGAAAAAAAAAAAAAAAGAAATAGAAACTATTAGTTTCAATTGACGCTTGCATTGGTATTTGAACGTTGAATAATTATAGTTATTCAATAAATAGAAACTTTTTTTTCCTCTCAAAATTTATTGTCAATATTAAAACAATATATTAAAAAAAAATTAACATTATGAAAAATGTCAACATTCTTTCACCATCGTCCCTTCAAAACGTATCACAAATAAAAAGAATGGCAAATTACACAAACCTTCTTGAGACTAACATCATGAGAAATGTCATGAGTATGACATTCTTCCACCTTTATCTCTTCAAAACGTATCACAAACAAAAAGAATGATAAATTACACTGATTTATTTGGGCAAATTACACAAAGATGGAGACCTTTATTACTTTGACCTCCTTATAAAATATATTTCACATATTTATTTAATTTAATTTAAAATATATATACGTCTAACAAAAAGACTTTATTACCTTTTTTTTTCTTTCTTGTAAACACTATATTATCCTCTCTTTAAAAAATAATAATAATAATAAAAAACTAATTAAATGTTATTAAATTTTTTTTTATATAAAATATAATAATATGAAATTGGTATGAAAATTGATATTTTCATTTCAATGGTATTACATGGTATTTTGGTCATTTCATGTCAAAATATAAGGTTATTGAAATCTTTTAACACACGAAAATAGCAACTTAGTCATTTTTTGAATTTTTATTAATGACAGGAGGTGTTGTTGAGCACACGCGTCACCTATTAGAGGAAGTTAAAATAATAAAGGACAAACATTTTACTTGTGTATGTAATATATTTGTTCAAATCTCAGGGGAGGTTAGTGTATTCTGTTGTATGGAATTGAAATCGGTAGAATTTGAGAAAAATAATTAAAAAAATAAAAATAAATTTTTATCAAATTTCACTAATTTTAAGTTAAAAACTTCAATTCCTTGCCGACTAACTAAAAAAATGTCACAATTAATGATGTAACTCTTTTACTTGTTCGTCTAGCAAATCATTGATCACTAACCTCAAGAGAGAGATTGTTTGGAAATCTTTTGGTTTAGGAAGAAGAGCTCGATATGCTGTGGAAATTGTTTTCTCTGTATCAAAACAGGTTTAGTATCTAATAATAATTCTCAAAAAAAAAAAAAAAAAAATAATAATAATAATAATAATAATAATAAATAAATAATAATATTGTGAGCAAAAAGGAAATTTGAGCCTGATGAAAGTGACCTCATTGTTGGAGCCCCTTGTGTAAATTTGATAACCGACCCCCAAAGCACTTCATATTCAAATCTCTAGGACACGGTACATATGGAGAGGCGCACCAAGATTCATTGCATTAATATATGAAGAGATCTACGAGCGAGAGAAGAAAGCTCACGTCGTGAGTTTTGCCATCTAGCATTCTCTCAAATTTCCAAGTTTTAGAGCGAGAAACAGAGAGCGACAGAAAGCTGAAGTCGATGGCTCTGGCACCCGAGAGATCAAGGCCTCTCCACCACTTCACATTGCCGCGCTTGAGATGGGGCAACCGGAGGTTACTAAGATGCATGAAAGTGAACGCCAACGACAACGCTCCGTCCGATCGCAGATCATCTCCCTTGGAAGCCGATTCGGACGGCTGTAATCGAATCAGAGACGGAAATTCTGTGATCAAACGCAGATCACTGACTATCGCAGAGGATTTCAAGAAATCGCCGTTGAAACCAATCTATGGCGACAAGGATTGGGACGATAACGGAATCGAAGCTTTTCGCGAGAAACTCATGTTCGATCTCCGACTCGTCGCCGATAAGATGAAAGTTCCAATTCATGAAGACAAAGCTTTCGAAGTACCGACTCCGGAAAGACCGTGGAATTTGAGGACTCCAAGAGCGGCTTGTAAAGCGCCTAACGATTCCGGCAAAGGCGGTGGTGGCGGAAACGGAAAGGGAGAGAATTTGAGGAGCGAGGAGCGGCGGAATAGTAATTGTAATTCATCCCCGGTGAGGGCCAAAAGTCAGGCGAAATCGAGTGGAATGAGAGGATTGGCCGCGGCGGCTGCTACGACGGCGCAGTGTTTGGAGAAGAGAGAGCAGTGCGAGCGACCTAGGTTTTCGATTTCTCTTTCCCGAGAAGAGATTGTGAGTGATTTTTTGGCGATGGCGGGAACGAAGCCGAATAGAAGACCGACGAAGAAGAGGCCAAAGATAGTTCAGAAAAATTTGGATGTAAGAACACTTTCGATTCTTATTTCTACACCAACTTGTTCGATTATTGCTTGATTTTATTCCTCACTAATCTATTCTACAAACTTGTTGCAGTCACTTTTTCCAGGATTGTGGTTGACAGAAATAACATTACATCAGTATAAAGTTCCTGATTTCCAAGAACCAAGAAAGGTGACATTTTTCAATTCTTTTTTACATTTATTCTTTTCTTCTCCAATGTTTTTTTTTTTTTTGGATTTTTCAATTAATGAGTTTTTTTATTTTTTATTTTGTAGAGGGGTAGAATTGAAGCATAGATGGGTTCTGGGAAGTTCAAATTACTCTTGAATGGCTGATTGCTGCTGGTGCTGGTGCAATATGACCTAACTTAATGGTAATAACTCTTACCATATATGTAAATTGGGAACTCTTGAAGCTTAGATGTGGATTTGACTTCATTCCTTTTTTCTTTTGAAATGTTACAAGCTTTACAAATTAATTAAAGAATAGGTGGTATTCTTGATGGAAGAGCAGTTTGTACGTTTTTCCTATTATAAAGCAAAAAGTTCAAGAGTCAGTTTTTTATTTTGAAAAATGTAAAAATAAAAAAAAAAGTAAATTACAACCTATTCTTCTTCATTAAGCTGGTATCTAATGAAAGAGAAATGCAAATGATTTATATTTGCACTGTATAATTACTAAATGTTATAATCTAGCCAGTGTCTTTGCATTCAAGTCATCCAATGAATCACGGAGTCTTGTGCAACCAAAACATACTCATGGATAGTGAATACATGCCCTACCTTTTTAAACGTATTTGAAAGTTGAAAATAGTATATTTTATTTTTTTTTATTTTTTTTTTTATTTTTTAACACGTATTCAATACTTCCGCCACATATTTAGTATTTGTATACTTCAAAGCATATTTAGTAAATTGTGTATACTTCAAAAAGCATATTTAACGAGTCTTGAACGTAAAAGTGTAACTAATTCGAGTATAAACTTCAGATAGTATCATATAATTGCTAAAAGTAAAATTAGAGTTTCTTAAAAGAGAAGTATTGGAATATTTATCAAGGCTAATATGGTCTAAAATTTATTCATGTAAAGCAACTATTAGGGTCTATTTGGAATGTATTATGATATTGTTTTCTGATATTGGTCTTCAAATTTGGGTCTATCATGTTTGTGACGGTCAAAATTAGTTTAGAATAGTTTTTAACATATCAAATTTTTTTGTCCAAACTCATATTATTGAATTTGTGTTATTGTGTGTTTCCCTACTGTGGTAACGGAGGAACTACAACAAAATTTTGAATATCTCAAGACAAATTTTTGAATTTCTCAAAACAAATTTTCGTTACTAAACATGGTTTTGATTTCTACCAAAAACGATTATTTTAGTATTAATTAAAAACATATAACTTGCCAAACGGACCCTTAACTTTTTAATTTTATTTTATACATTGATCTAAATAAACTAATACACAATTTTTAATATTTTTCTCAAGCCCGCCCGTCCCTGGGAACAAAAAGTGTTCCAACATGGATGGTAACTCTTAATTTTCAACTTGTTATCATAATTCTTATATAATAAAATGATAGTAAGAATATATATATATAACATGACAAACAATAATTTTTTGAAATAATATGTTATAGATTAAAGTCCATAGTGTTCAATTTTATTTTATAAAGTGAAATTCGGGTCAAACATTCTAAAATCAGGTAAACTTTTTGAAACCCTAACGTAATGGGTCTATTTTCTAAGTTTCAATCCACGTGGTTCATTGATAAGATGAAGTTCAACCATTAAAAAATAAATGAATTATCCTGAAAAATAATTCCTAATAACTATCATTTTTCCATGGTTGATCAATTTTTTTCTCTTCGAGATCTATTGTCAATATGAAAATAATATAATAAAAATAAATTAACATTATGAGAAAATTTTAGGGTCGCAACTCGAGCGGATTGGAAATATAACTTGAACTCAATCTGATATATAAATTGTCCAACCCTAATCCAACCCTAACCCAACCTTCATTCCTAATTACTCAATTTAAGACCAATTCATCCTTCTATTTTTAAATTCGAGTTTGCAAATCGAGTTTGAGATTTCGGGTTTAAAAGTCGAGTTAATTCGGGCTACCTATATAACCAATCTCCACACTAAAAATTTAATGCAATCTTAAGTTTGTTTCAAATTTATGCTTTGTTCGACAGGAAAGAAAGAAGATGGGTGGATAGAAAATAGGAAGTAAAGAACTAATTTCTTTAGTTCGCTAGAGAGGAGATAATTAGAGAAAAAATAATAGGGGGAATGAGTTATCCTTCCTCCTTTATAAATTTTCATTCCTCCAAATATAGGCGGAAAAGTGGAGGGAAGACGAAATGTACTATTATACAAGTTTTAAATAATAATACTATCTTAAATTATACAATTTTAAATTATAATATTATCCTCTATAAATTAAAATATTATAGATAATGGTGGGTGTAATGGTAAAAATAATTAAAAACTTTAACTTTCCTCCTTTTCTTACTAACAGAATAATTGTGAATTTATTCTCTTATCTTCCTTCAAATCGAACAAAAAGAAGAAAGTATATAATCTCTTCTCATCTATCTATTCTCTTCTTAGCTTTTATCCAAAAATTTTCTTTCCTACTGAACAAAACATTAATTACTCTAGAACACAAAAAAGAAATTTAAAATTTGTTGCAAATTTTTAATAAATTACAAACAAATTTTTAGAAAATTAATTCTATAAAGTGTTAACATACAATAAATTAAAGTTGAAAAGGAAAAAAAAGTGATCAAATTTTGAATACTATATATGATACATATAAAATAAAACATATATATATTAAAATTCAGATTCAGTTGACTCAGGGTTCTAGCATCTTAATTCAAGGATAACTCTAATTAAGTTCGGGTTAAACTTTTTTAACTCAAATCTAACCCTATTCGGAAAAATGGTTATTCAAGCTCGCAAAAAATCAAGCTGGAGTCGAATTGAATTCGGATTACCCAGGCCAAAGTTGAACTCCATCGAGAAATATCACCTCTTTCTTTCACTTCCATCCCTCACGCATGTATTCCAAATGAAGAGAAATGGTGACAGCAGCTCTTTCATTCATTCGAATCTCTATCAATCCATTACTATCCTCAAGAGGGAGCGCATTGGAAAAGCTGAAAGAGTGCCATACAATAGGTTAGTAGCCGATCAAAGCATATACTACTCTGTATCAAAACATTTTTTAATATCTAATAATAATTCAAAAAAAAAAAAAAAAAAAAGGATTAATTACATTCACACCCGATGAGATTTTTCTCAATCATATGAAATTGATCCATTTTTTAACAATGACACCTCTTTAGATTTGGTAAATTAACAATGACAACCCTGCCACCTCTGATACAAAGTAAATTGACCTTATTACCCTTTAACTTATGAATATACTAATTTGAATAATGAAATTACTATTTTAACCTTTTAAATTATGAAGTTTCGGATTTCGTTTCGATGAACGAACTCGAATTCCTATGAGGTGTCGGCGAGACTCCAATAACAAACTTAGATTTCGACAAACTTTCTAACCATCCATCTCGGATTCCAATCAACTTTCTGGTAACAAAACTATGAAATTTTACAAATTACATTTTGGTAACGTTTCAAACTTATACATTTAATATATCTATGAACAAATGATTGGATGAAGATGAATACATTATACAGCGGGTTCATAGTGTCACTCTATGAACATACACAATTGATCCAATACTATCCTCAAGAGAGAAAATTGTTTGAGATTATTTTTTGTTTTGGAATAATAGCTCATGATCATTTGATGATTTTTTGGCCACGTTTAGATTTGTTATTATTATTATTATTTTTATTATTTTAAAATCCTTGCCATTTCGAAAATCTCATTAAAATCATTAAATAGATTGTCGTGTTTTCAAAGAAAAGCACTTTAGATAAACTGAAAGAGCTTTCAAGTCCAAAAAAATCACAAGCAACTTTTGAAAAGCAAATCGAAACAGACACTTTTATATAAAAATATTTTTAAATATGTAATAAAGGTAAAATGCAAATAAAAAATCTTACGATAAAAAAAAAAAAATGCTCAAGAAACACCACATTTTTAAAAAGTGCATATAAATTCCTTTATTTTGAAAATTTGGAGCAAATTGCCCCTAATCAACAATTTTGACCAATTTCTTTTATAAAATCCCAAAATTTAATAACTAAATAATATTAGTTATTTCTTTATTATTAATAAATAAAAATTTTAAAATAAAAAATAAATTTTAATAAATAAATAATTTTGGGGGGTTTCTAAATTTTGTAAAATGCCTCTATTTATTTATTATTTTAATTTTTTTTTTTAAAAAATATTATTATTTTATTTTTGTTTTGTCATGTTTCAGTTTTCAAATTGAAGAATTGGTTTTTGCACATTACCCATCTAATAATAATAAATACAGTTAAAAAAATGGTCTGAACTCGTATTCCCCAAATCAATCTCATGCCTCCAGGTATGAATTACTTAAGTTTGAACGCTGGAGAGAAGTTCATGGTTAGATTGGTTGCCTTTGAGGTGGCAGTGATAATGGTGGCAGGAGTGAGGTGGTAGCGGCCGTGGGTTTGTGAGTTCGATTGGGTTTGATGGTATGTGATTTAGCATGAATTGTTTGAGTTTTCAAGGCGTGAGAATTGTTCCTAATTTGATTGGCTGACCGGTTGACGTTGAGGTGGCCGTGGCGAAGTGATGGGTGGTTACAGTGGGTTTGTAAGGTCTGGTTAGGTTTGACAGTGAGTATGAATTTTTTTGAGTTTCCAAGACGAGAAAGTTGATCGTGAAGCGGTGGTTGCGAAAATGGTAAAGGGTGGAAGTGGTGGCAATGAGCAAGAACTGTCGATTTAAATTTTTTAAGGTAAAGATAGAGAGTGAAATTCCCAAACTATCTAAACTATGTCCTTTAACCATGACAAATTGTTAATTCAAAATAGTTTATTATTATTATTATTATTATTATTATTATTGTAAGGGTTAATTGTATTGGCACGTCTGAGATTTTGATCAACGTCATTCAAAAGTGAGTGTGATTTTTTTGACAATGACACTCTATGAGATTTAAAAAGTTTTCAGACACACCCCTTCACAAACCATTTAATCCTTTGACTATTCAACAATCACATTAGAAGTAAATTTACCAATTTTAATACCCACAATGTTGCTACCACTATCACCACAACCACCACCACCACCTCTTTTCTTTCTTTCACTCATATATGTGTGTGCATATATATTAGGGGTGATAATATTTGACACGATACAAACATAACACGAGATATAAAAGTTTATGTTTGGGCTATTCGTGTTCGTATCATAATTGTGTTAACACGAATTGATCAGTTAACTAAACGTGTCGTGTTCGTGTTTGACCCTGCTAATACGATTATAACCCGATTAACTAAATATGTCAGATAAACGTGTCGTATTCGTATAAAAAATGACTTATTTAGCTAAACGTATAAAATAAATATGTCGTGTTTGTATCAAAAATGACTTAACGTGTCTTTTTGTGTTATTTCGTGTCGTATCAAGTCTTGACTTATTTATTAAACAGTTACACGTATAATATTAGAATTTTGTTAGCACAATAAGAATCAATAAACTTCTAGAAGTATACCCATTTAAACAATAATTATCAGTATTACTTTAGAATATGTCAAAAAGTTGAGCTAACATGTTATCTTGATTGGTGCAATTTTCAAGGCCTTATAATGAAGGATATTTTCGTTAATTAATATGACTAATATTTTATAAATTAATCAAATTAAATAATTAAGAACAAACATGACATTTGAAACTTTGTTTTAAAAAATCATTAATCCGTATCTAAATGGCATTTACTGAAACCTCAAGGGTGTTAATGCAATTTATCCATATTGTAATTCAGTAGCACCGTGTAAATGAGTAATTAGTTTAAGTTTTTTTTTATTTTTTTATTATTTATTTTTTTTTTCATTTTACCCTAGTTATTAAATAAATAATTGTGAACCCCTGTGCACGCTAAGAAAGTTTAAGAAATCTATAGAGAGGGAGATTGAGGAGCTAGAGCGAGAAAGTTCACGTCCGAGTTCTGCCATTTAAGATTCTCTCTGTAAAAATTCCAAGTTTTAGAGAGAGAAACAGACACACACGGAAGAGCTGAAGTCGATGGCTACGGCACCCGAGAGATTAAGGCCTCTCCACACCTTCCCATTGCCGCGCTTGAGATGGGGCAACCAGAGGTTGTTCCGATGCATGAAAGTGAACGCCGACGGTGACTTTCCGTCCGATCGCAGATTATCACCTTCCGAAGCCGAATCGGACGGCTGTAATCGAATCACAGAAGGAAATTCTGTGATCAAACGCAGATCACCGAATATCCCGGAGAATTTCTTGAAATCGGCATTAAAGCCAATCGACGGCGACATAGTGCGCACACCTCGCAAGGATGGGGAAGATAACGGAATCGGAATCGAAGCCGTTCGCGAGAAACTCATGTTCGATTTCCGACTCGCCGCCGATAAGATGAAAGTTTCAATTGAGAAAGATTTCGAACTCCCGACCTCGGCGAGACCATGGAATTTGAGAACTCGAAGAGCAGCTTGTAAAGAGCCTAACAATTCCGCCGCCACCGGCGGTAGCGCAAAGGGAGCGATCTTGAGGGGCGAAGAGCCGCGGAGTAGTAATGGTAAGCCGTCGCCGGTGATAGCCGAGAGTCCGATGTCGAAGGCCAAATCGAGTCGAATGGGAGGATTGGCGGCGGCAGCTAGGACGGCGCAGTGTTTGGAGAAGAGAGAGCAGTTGGAGCGACCTAGGTTTTCGATTTCTCTTTCCCAAGAAGAAATTGTGAGTGATTTTTTGGCAATGACGGGAACGAAGCCGAAGAGAAGACCGACGAAGAAGAGGCCAAAGATAGTTCAGAAAAATTTGGACGTAAGAACACTTTCAATTCTTATATCAATTTCGGCAATTCAATTTCTACACCAAATTGTTCGATTATTGCTTTGATTTTATTTCTCACTAATCTATTCTACAAACTTGTTGCAGTCTGTTTTTCCAGGCTTGTGGTTGACCGAAGTAACATTAGATCAATACAAAGTTCCTGATTTCCAAGAACCAAGAAAGGTGACATTTCTCAATTCAATTTAACATCAATACTTTCATGTGGATTTTGGGATTGCTGAAATTAATTTATGATTTGTGTTTTTTATTTTGTAGAGGGGTAGAATTGAAGAACAGATGGGTTCTGGGAAGTTCAAATTACTTTTTGAATGCTGATTGCTGCTGGTGCAATTTGACCAAACTTAATGGTAATAAACTCTTACCATATATGGAAATTGGGAATTCAATAAAGGATTTGGAGTTGCTGATCATATATTCTGCTACTTCAACTTTTATTTTAGAGGCTGATTTGACTTCATTGTTTTATTCTTTTGAAATGTTACAAGTTTTGCAAATTAAGTGAAGGATATGTGGTATTCTTTGATGGAAGAAAGAAAATGCTGTAGCAGTTTGTACTCATGGTTTAAGAGAAGACTGAGAAGTTGACTACAAAGAGCAGAAACTATTTGCCTTTGGGTTTTTCTTTATGTAATATAGATATATTTTCTGAGGAATTCATGTTCCACGGTATTAAATTGTTGTAAGGCTGCAGCTTTGGAGCAATGTTTTTTTGATATGAAAGTAAAAGTAGTTATATGTTTTTTGTGGCACAATGTTTCTATTCCACTTATCTTTTTGGCAATTTATGGTTCAAATTTAATCTCCCAATTGGATAAAACACTGCACCTAAAACTAAAAGGCCATTTACCCGTAATTGGTCTGCCTATGCAGTGAGCTAAGAGGCACTTCTCACATGACAAGAAAGAGGCACGAGCCCTCCACCATTAATTGCAGTTTTTTTATTAAAAAATAAAAATTAAAAATTAGGATTTGTAAAAAGTTTTAACACACCTTTCAATTATATTGGTTAATATGGGAGCTTTCCTCTTAAAAGAGCGGACACTCTGCTTCTCCAAGCAGGTCCCTCTCATTAGAAGAGCACTGTGCTCTACAAGCAAGACTTGGATTTCTCCGTTCCAAGTGTGGCAGAGGCCTAAATGGCAATAAATAAATAAACCTTTTAACTTTTTTAACATTTTTCTGAAATCACGTCCTATACTAAGAATTCTCAAATGAACTTTAACATCACTTCCATACTAATAATTCTCAAATGAACTTTAACATTACTTCCATAAGAATGGATTAACTTGTACAACACAACCTGTCCAATCTTACTAAAGTTCATTACTTCCATAAGAATGGATTAACTTGAACAATACAACCTGTCCAATCTTTACTAGAAGATTGAATGATCAATACAAGGGCATAAACCCACAAGTTCATTTGATCAACTCTTGAAACATCCAATTCTTCCTTTACAATTTTGGGGCCAAGAGTAGTAATTAATTACAAGGTAATTCCTAAAAAATTAAGTCTCAGAATTTCACAATTTGTACAAAAAATGTTAATTTTAAAATTTATCAGACTCACACTGATGAATGATAAAGCACACAGGGTCTATCAATTCTTTCGAATGTTATTGTAAATCAGTACCAATCCATTTGTCGTTATTGCAATCACCGTAGATCTACAACGTCGAACTTTAGGTCGGGATTCATATAAACATCTGAACATTGTTTGTAAATTGGGCCACCATCGGCAGGTGGATCGTGTGGATGAAAGCCACGCCGCGGACATTGTCTTATGACTGTCATGCCACCAGGATTAGTTAACCGGAAAATGCCATGGGTTCTGCAGTTGCGAGAAGAACTAGAAATTATTCAAGTTTTAAGTAAAAGATAACAATGTTCTTTACCAGAATAAATGTTCTTTACCAAACCTACCTCGAACTATCTCTTGGTGCCATAACAATTGCGATAGATTCTGGCAACATAATCTGGGGAAATATACTTTTGTTTAGAGAGACAAAATAATAACAATAATAATACTGACAAGCTTATAGACATGGTTAGGCACTGTTATAATAGAAATATATTTTCTACAAAACAAAGGCAAACACACTAGTGCTACAAAGTTACAAACAGCAATCAAGACAATTACAAGTTTTCTTTTCTATTTCCCAAACAAACTTGATGGAAAGACCCATCACCCGAAATCCTAAAAACTTTACTACCAAACTAACACAGAACATGACTCAACCTGGAATTAGCAATAGCCATTTCCTACACCAAAAATAAATTTGTTTGATAAAATTGCTTTAAAGTATCAAACGAAATACAAGAATTCCTTAGAAAATGATGATTTCCTATATTTAAAAAAAAAAAAAAATGGAATTAAAAGATATAGAAAAAGAGAAGGAATGAAACAAAAACAACAAAAGGAAAGGGAGGGCTGCACACCTGATATGAGTAATGTGTGTGAACATCAATTGATGACATGAAACAGGATTGCGTAGGATGAGTCTGTAATATGAAAAAACAGTGACTCAATTATCAACCACTCAGCATGATACATAATTAAAACAAGATATACAATGTGGAGGATTAAAAACTTAGCAAAGATTAGGCACTGAACTAGATGCAACAAATACTTGTTCAATCGTCAAACAAGGACGACATGAAAGATAATCACAGAAACGTATCTTAATATTCATCAACACATAAAATTAATCTTTCCGAGCATAATAAAGATTTTACACTAATTGGAAAGAGGCACCAATATATCTGGTGGGAAAGTAAAATATGCGCCAACTAAGGCACCAAGACATGCTTACACATTGTTAAGTGCACGCAAAGAATTCAGTAAAAAAGCTAAGACTATGACTAGCATCAGATGAACCACATTACGCTGATAAACATAAAAACTAGCACTAGTTGGAATCTCAATAAATTTGCCATCATATATAAACAAGAAAAAGTTTAAACTTAACTAGCACCAGATGAAACCACATTATCTAGAGATATTAAATTAATTAAGCATAACAACTGGACCATGGAATCTAAATAATATATTCTGTTATATAAACTCAACAAGATATGTTACTACTAGTACGTCTGTTCCCATTTCAACTTTATGCCTATTAGCATTATGAAATCAACACGACAATAACAGATAGAAGTTGCAAAGCTGCAGGATTCAAAACTAGCTTTTGCTTTCCAGATAAAGACAGACCTAATTACATTAACCAAAGAACATACTTTTTTTGCGACAACTATGAACAACCTTGAATGAAACCAATTTTGATGAATTTGATGGGACAATGATTATAAATCAGAAATATGTTATGGCATAATATTATGATACAAACATTGAATACTCACATGAATCCAGCCAAGGGGAAAAAGAGATTGCTTATCCTGCACTTCAAATATTTCCTCTTCGTTTGTTGTCTGACACTGATTCGAAAGAACACATTCAATATACAATTTGCACAATTCTGCTTGTAATCAAAGGAAATATAAACAAATGCCTTACAGAATCTGATGTCGATTCTTGCTTCGGAATGATGAGAGTTGTAACATAAAATTTTCGGTTTTTCTGCAAAGAAAAAAAATTGAAATAATAGCATAACATAGAAATCAGTATCATTGCTTGGTAAGTGGTAAAAACTCGGGCAAATAAGCGGGGGAATGCGGGTTCAAATATGAGATACTCAGATGCGTGCAAAAATTACCAAAGGTTATATATGTGTCTAGTCCACCTTCACTTAACAGGGACCATTTTACCACAACAGAAAAGTGGGTAACGGCTTTTAAGCATAACATAGTGACTGGGATTTAAGTACAGTAAATTTTAATGGCACTTACAAGTGAACCTGCAAGAACACCACAAGTTTCTAAATTCTTATCGGTATTTGACCTAGCCATCTTCATGAAGCTATCCATCAATTTTGTTGACTGCAAAAAGAAAATAGTTAGGACAAATGACTACATATTCCTTCCATTATCATAGTTGACTAAGCCACAACAGATGGGATAAATATTCAGATTGTCAATCATCAGAAAGAGCTCACATAATAAATATATCATTCCAGATAAAAAGCTAGCTCAAGAAATAAACAAGCAGAAATTTGTAAAAAGATCTCACAATGTGTAATTGCAGAGGAGGTTCAGAACAAACTAAGCCATCAGGTGAGGGATTCTCCATTACATTTGCTGCATCAGTAACTAGGGATGATGCAGGAATCAAGTCTTGTACATCTGCTAGAACAGGTGGGGGAGAAGGCTGTCTGATAATGTCTATTTGAGTAGGGGTCTCTATTGTTTCAAAGGAAATCAAGGAGAGATCTTCTTCAACATGACACGTCTGATTTTCATCATTTACTGGAAGAATTGATTCCAAACTTGATCTTTCATGTTCTGAGTTGCTAGAGTCTTTTCTGATCAGAACTCCATTTTCTACTGGCTGCTGCAGACTGTTTTCCATTGAAACAGCACGCCTAATTATTAAATAAGTTCAACAACAGCAAACGACAAACATAATATAATAATATTGTGGAAAGAGGACTTGATTTTAAATCATTGCCTTAAGCTTGAGAAAAGAAACATAATTGTTGATCAGATTCCAAAAGCATCATCTATATGCTCCTAGGCAAGTTTCTTTCTATCCAACTGACACAAGAATCCATCAACTCAGGCTAATCTGGTTTTCTGGTCACATATATCAACTCATGATGATGATGATATATTGTTAAGGTAATCAAGATATTCTGCAAAATTGGCTTTTGATACTCAAGTAAGCAAGAGTTTATATGATACTCTTAAGAGTCCGTCGCTTTGAAGTCAATTACACATCAAAATTTAACAGTCACTTATTCACCCAATGGGACCGTCATAAAGCATTAATGTGTATGCATCTCCACTTCTCTTGTAATTTACTCTTTTACTGCTAGGGGTCCATACTGAAAATGGTCCAATGTTGAGCCCGATATAAAGATGACTCGTGTGAGTCCTCTCAGATTTACTGGTATTAAAAAACAAAACAAAAAATATCCCAACTAGCAACGTCATAATGCTTTAACAAAAAACAAAATAGGTTCCAACATGATTTCCCTTGACATAAATTCTACAGAAAACGAAGTATGGAAAACAGGTTTTACAATAACTCTACTACGCATCTAACCTTGGAATTACAACCGGAGTCAAGTCTAGATTGCTTGGATATTGGACCTACATTCACAATATAAGCGTCAGTGTGGTTCTACTGTATGAAACAGAAGAAATAGCTGAAAAAACCATCTTACCCCTTTATCACTACTAGGAGGTTGCCACTGTCCTCGAAGCCCATTCGGACCCAAAATAGAATGTCTAGAAAGAGTTTCCTCCTTTGGAAGGGGGATGCTTAGTGATCTACAAGAAGCATACAAACAACCTAAGAGTAAACAAAAGGAAAAAATAATGCCATATGTAATCAAGTCCAGTTTTATTCTCCATTATCACCTGCACTAATCATTGTATATCAAATTTATACACCAGAAAATACGAACTCAGCACCGAAACTGACATTAAGGGAGAAAAAGGAAAAGCAAAAAACATATTTTAACCAATTTTATTGAGAGCAAAATTATCTAGCACTAGATTGAGTAGACATTCAAACTGTTTTTTATATCTTAATAAAAAAATATATATTAAATTAATATGAGTTTATTTTGATATTTATCAGTGGGAAGGAGAATGTAAAAGTTATATGCATAATTCAATGCCACATAATCCAGCAAATTAAAAGAAATTATAAAGAATGGAAGCACATGTTCGTCAATTTATACTTCTGCAGATTAATAAATTTCCACAAAAAGACCTTCACGATGAGTCAATGATTAAGATGGAGAAATACTACATGTCAGTTGTCACCATTCCAAAATGAATGTTCAAACGTGGTTAATAGCTATTCAAATATTAAACATACCCATCCCAAGTGTCAACAAGTGCACGAGATAAATAAGATAGCATCCACAATAGTATTCTGTTCATAGTATCAGTTCTTAATATTCATCTCACGTCTTTCAAGTTAGATCAGATAACTGAGTTCGTGATATATCCTCAAATTATATAGACTTGAACCAGTATCAGTGAAGATGCAATATTCATCATTCAGACTTGGTACAAACCACAAATTATGTTTTTTCCTTTTTTTATCAATTGTACTAATATTCAGTTTACTCTGACACAAATCACGTATACAAATAAAAACATGAGGGATACAATCAACCCGCTCATATTATCTATAATTATGTTCCCTCTAAATGCCCCAAACAAGGCATAACGGATCCATAATGCTCTGTGAATCCCCCCTATATATGAGCCTCGTCAACTAGCCAGTATGCTCATCACCATCCTGAACAAAGTCACGATGGAGGAGAAGATGATTGACTCCCCTCTAGTTTGCTTGCACATAAAGCACCACTGCACGATTATGGGCTTTCCTTTTCCCCAGAGTATCAATGATTAGAAATTTAGAACGGCTTCCCTTGCCATTTCTCACATAAAGAATGCCATCTGAGGAGAGCTTTAGAATGTCAAATGACTTTCCAAGAAAACATCTTCATACCTCCAATCAAAATCCTATTGTAGGTCATAACTGTGAACACTCTATGATCTCCTTTCTACCTAATGAAGTCTTCCAACTCCCATTAGTATAATGCCTCAAGAAGAGAGACCATGACTCCACTATCCAATCTTCAAATGCTCTATAAAACTCCAGATTTCATAAAGCTTCACTCTCCATAGAAAATATATACTCAGCAATTGACACCTCCCTATTAACCACCAACTTAAAGAACCCAGGGAATCCTTCCTTTAAGGTTGAGAGGTCCACCCAACCCAACCCGAAGCATAAAACCCTCGACCCAAGCCAGAGTCTAACCAGATGAGACCAAACCGAGTACTTTAAAATAAAAATAATAAAATAAAACTCAGGTTGAGCTCAGATAAGTTCGAGCTAATTAAGTTATCCTTGTTAAGCTCAGGTTGGCCATGTTAGTATCAGGATAAGCTCGGGTAGGGATAGGAATACTAAGGCCCTGCTTGGATTGACACTCTCAAAACAGTATTCTGTTTTTAGAGTGTCAAAAATTCCCATTTTTGCGCTGCTTGGTGCCTGTTTTTGAAAAAGAGTTTTTAGAAAACTGAGTTAAGGGAGTATGGGTTTTTTGAAAACAACTCAAAGTTGTTTTGGGAGTTTTCAGAAAGAATGAAAACACGGAGATGGGAAGGTCACTTAAAAAAAAGACGCTAAAGAGGTTGTCGTTTAAAAGCTTCTCTCTCTAAGCCCAAACTGTACGTTCTCTCTCTAAACCCAAACCATATATACCTTCTTCATTCTTTCTCTCTCTACTGTAAAACTCTAGCGCTTTGCCATCTTTCGTCCCATGTTGATGAAATTTTCTCTCAGGCTTCGGATTCGCCTTTAGGGAATGGAGCCCAATCTTTAGATCATCAAGTTCTCCCGATTTGGGTTTAAGGATTATGGCTTCTTCGAATTCATGAGTTTTTCATTGCTTGTGGCCGGATTCTTCTCTTTTATGCAGATCGGGTAGAACGATTGACTCAAGGCAGATGTGACGCAGTAGACGAGGGTGGTCGGATACGGGCTGAACTTCGCAAGTCCTTTCTTTTTTCAGTTCCTTCTGAAGTTGGGAGCCGATGTCAGAGGTTGCGATGCGAAGGGTTGCGACACTACCAAGATGATTGATGCGAGGTCAGGGAAAATTAAGAGTCATTGGTATGAATTCGAAGTACCGATGTGATGAATTAGAAGTAAAATTGCAGGAATTGTGCGACAGTAATTTAGGAAATTTTAGAAATTGTCCGATTGCAATTTAGGGCAAGTTTGCAATTAAAATTGTTATATTGCAGAACAACGATTGCTACACCTACCTTTTTCTCTTCCAATTTGCTTGATCAACAAGCTCCAGAAAGACATTACTGATTCTTCAAAGCTCGAATTCCACTTGGGTTCAGATAGAAATGGAGTTGGAATATCAATTGGGTTTAGGTATAAATGAATGCTAAATTTGGCTCAAATTGTGAATCGTAATCGGCTTTGCCCATTGCAGGTCTAGTTGGAGGACATTATTGATTGTTTGGAGCTTGTGATTCCTTTGTCGTTCAATTTATCTATGGAAAAAAAATGGTTGTGATAACAGAGCTAATGAATTGACAGTAGAGATCAGTGTTCAATTTATCTATGGGATGGAGCTATCTGGGCACTGCTTGCTTTTCCAATAATGTAAATTTGAGATGTCCACACTTTTCCAATAATGTGAATTTGGAACGGATTCTTTGAACTTTAATCCAAACAGGATTTTTAGACAATTAAACAGTTTTTTTAGTTTTTGGTTTCTGAAAACTGTTTTGGAGTTTTTCTAACCAAGTAGAATTCCAAACTCAGAAATCTGAAAACTGTTTTCAGTTTTCATTCTCTAAAAACTGTTTTTCAAAACTATTCTTTGAACTTCAATCCAAGCAAGGCCTAATATTTCAATAAGAATATTAATATCAATATGTCCAAGATTCAGGTTGGGTTAGGCTTACCCAAAGCCTCTGCCAAAGTCCAACCTGAATTGAGGTCTGGTTGAAAATTTTCAACCCCCCAACCTGGACAACAGAAAAAGAGCTGCGCAGACGGGGTTGAGCATGGTTGGGATCAAGTTGGCCCACAAATTCCACTCCAACCCACACATTATGCAAACTTAACCTTCTGACGGTCTGACCATTCCTCGCCATGAAGAAAATGTGAGCGGAGAGGGTCTCCACCCTTTCAAAATGGCTCTTCAAAAACTCAATCTCATTATACAGATTGACCGCATTAGAAGACCAGCTACAACAGTCTAATCAAATTTTAGATTCAATCATCCTCCTGAAGAGTACCTCTCCACTCATATCTCCACAGCCATTTTCCTAAAAGAGCCTGACTCAAAACTCACAAATTCTTGACCCCTAAATCCGTATGGGGGGGTACAGACCAAATTCAAAGCAACTAACTAATTCTTGGACAAACCCCAGTGCCTTCCCATAAAAAAGAATCCCTTGGGAATTTGGATTTTCTCTAACAGATCTTAGGATAGAAAACACAAATGTAAGTAGGTAATCTTGAGAGCAACCTTTTTACAAGAGTCAAGCGCCGTCTCCTTTTCCATCCATCCAACCTCCTCTAAGATCTCTCAATCACTATATCCCTAACAACCTTGGCTTTAAAGGCAGATCTTGGAGGCAACCCAAATAAATTGATGGTGAAGAGTCCACCTTGCACCCCAAATTGGCAGCGAAGACCACCAGATTCTCCACATCCCAACAAGAATGAGCTCAGTCTGTCCCAAGTTAACATGCGAACCTGAAACAGACTCATGTAGATATTGTAGCTTGCTCGCACATAAATAACTGTCACATCCGTGAGAAAACAAGTGAGAAACCGACAATAGAGTGTTTCTCTTATCTCCAATAAAGAAACCTCAACAAGTCTTGGTAACCCTAAAAAAATTAATAATAAAAAATAAAAGAAAATCTAGGTAGCATTTGACATGAGGCCCTGCAAAAAGAACGATATGTGGAAAAAAGAGAGTATAAAAACAAGTACCTTCTGGGGCAAACCCAAGGGACTCCTCATGTGAAAAATGCAAATGATCAGGAATCCTAACCATGGTGAAGCAAATTAGGGTGTTCTAACCACAAAAACAAACACAATACAGGTTGCGAAGAACTTGTTATGACTGTAAAGCGGGGGGAGAAGGTCGAAACATGATGTCTACGCAATACCAAAGACAAAGATTGCAAGAAATTGGAAAAATACCTCAGTCAACTCAATTTCTTTTTCCTTTCTTTATTTTCTTGATAGGCAAAAAATATTAAAATGAAGTAGAACCATGCCTGATTCTTCGGTACTCACCAAAAAGCCATTGAACCACAACAGTTTCTCTCAGTCGACACAAATTCACAGAACGTAATTGCTAAACTCCAAGTAAAAAAGGCAGTAGCATATAATGATAAAGCCATAAAACCATTAACCAATTTTATGGTCCTTCAAATGCAGGGTGGGAGTAATGAACTGGACACAGAGCTAATGCTTGCCAATATTAGGTACAAAGTTATTGCTCTCACTCAAACCCAATCCCATACTTGGCTGCCGGAATTTCCATTGCGCCAAGCAATGCGCCTCCCCCCCCCCCCCAGCTTAAATATCTAAAATATATTTTTTTGAAAGGGGGGAAAAGTGTAAACCACAGAACCTACTTCCATTACAAGAATCTGAAATATGTGTTGGATACTTATTCTGTAGTTATTCAACTCTGACTACCAACTGAAGGAATTCCTTTTAAGGATATCAGAATACTTACAATCTGCGGAATTGTTCTTCTACTGGCTTGGCATATAAGAACTGTTGGGTCTTCAAACCCTGATGTACAAATTTCTGAGCCGCAGGTTGTGGTGTCTGGCAGGAGCAGAATAGGATGTCAAAAACTGAAGTTTATCATGGTGTAGTATAAAAGATAATAAGAGCAGCAGCTTAAAACAAAATGAACATATGACGGGAAGACATAGTCACTGCCTGGGGTCATGGACTAAAGTGTTTCGTCACACATTGAAATTTAAAATCAAATTTGCAGCTTCAGAGCCCAATTAAAGAATCACAACTAACCAGTTGGAATAAGACTGGTCTACCCAATGATATATTGCATTAACTGTACGTACCTTTGTTATATTATGACTAGTCGCAGTTTGCTTTTTTATAGGATACAACTCCAGCGAGGAATCAAACGAACTGTTCTGATGAATATGACCCCACCCATTTACTTGGTACACATGTTTTCTGTTTAATTCATCAAGCTTCTGTTGCACTGCTGGCTTCAACTCTTCCAGCTCATTCAGGGCATCCAATAATTTCTAGAGTTAAAATTTCCAAAACCAAATTTCAACAGTTGGACTTGCAATAAGATATTATTTTGTGATAGAAGCACAGAAGTCATGTAATGATATTACCTTCATGAGAAAATTTGTATTGCTTTGTCGAGATGCTTTATAGTCTCGATGGCATGGTATCGTCTCAGAAACCAAACTAAAGAAAGAATGAGAAAAAAAAAAAAAAAAAGTTAGTTTAAATTACATGGTTGAGACTTTATAGTAAATGTAAGGTGGTCAATACATTAACACCAACCCCTTAATCCATCTATTCTAGCTGGTTAAAGTGTTAAACAGAATAAATACGTGCTAAGTTAGAAAAGCAATTTGTAATCTAATAACTTTTTCTCACCTTGAAAACCTCATGAGCATGACGTATAAATCTATAATATTCTTCTCTCTTCGAAAGATGTCAGCCTACATTAAAAAAGGATCAAAAAAATCACTTTAGAACAAGAAATGGCGTAGAAACACAAAAGTATATGTTATGAGTTACTCCCAAGATGGACAACTATTTTGGGACAGAGGGAGTACTATTTATTACTTTAGGAGACAGTAAGTCAATTCCAAACAATGAAAAGAGGTAATAGGATATTCACACGATTATCATATTGAAATCACAACTCAAATACGCATTCATAAACAGTGTATTTTTGTAATTAAAAAATGCAAAGTAAACTGGTTTACAGCCAAAGAATTATCAAGGACAAAGTGTCCAAATAAAAAGATGTTTAATACAAGCCTAACAATAACAATGTTAACAAACCAGCATTCCGCTGGAGTCTACAGAATGTATTGATGTTGGTTAGTCAGAGTATATGCAAGACAAAGTATTTAAGTGTAATAAGCAAAGACGGCATGAATCTCTGCCAAAGAATCAATCATCTCTAAACTAGAATGGAAGTTGTAATAATTTATGCCATAGTAAGACCATTGCAAGTATTATTGCTTGGATATAATATATGTTTTCAAAAATCAAAGGAGGTAATTGCTGGGTTTGTGGCTCAAAATTTGTGCGCAGAAAATTAGTTTCCTTTTTCGTTTTGGAAGCTGCGAGAAATAGTTTCCAGATTGGTTTTGGAATCCAAAAGACTTGAGGAAAAAGGCTAAAGATTTGGGAAAGAAGTTATACCTGCTATTTTAGAGTTGAAGATGGATATGGTAACTCCTTGTAGGTAAGTTGATCCTTGTCCAACAAGGAATTGGATTTGAGGAATACTTGTCCAACAAAGAATTGAGTTTTGAAGACTCTATTAATAGAGATAGGTATGAGGGGTTTAGAGAGAGAGAGAGAGAGAAGAGAGAAAAGATGCAAGGGGTTTAAGGGTGAGTGTTGTGAGGAGAGGGGAGAGTATGTGTAATTCCCGAGTGTATACATGTAACCTCAAAAGAGATGATGAGTGAGTGAGTGGGGGTTTTGACATGTGGTTGTATATTCTCTTCTTTGATTCATAATAGTGAAATCTCTCTCTCCCATGGACGTAACCCTAGAGTTGGGTGAAACATGTAAAATATTGTGTTGTGCATGAATGTGTGTGATTATTACCTCCATATATGCTTGTATTGATGTGATGTGATGATGCTTCCATTGTGTGTGATGAAAGGGGGATTTAACTCTCAACAACAGTCAACCGTTGAGTGGGTTGGAGAGAGTTAATTATCCCCAACAGTAACGTTGGAAAATAACATTCAAATTACCTAAGATAACATCACAAGTTCATAACAGACTAACATATATAAAAGAATGCTATCCATATTCACCACATCCACTGAATTTTACAGCCTGCCTGCATACATATATATAAACAGTGACAGAACCAAGACTTCACTCTAGTTGGGGAGATTTCAGACAATCAATTATCATGCCTTTGAACAACCAATTCACCAAATTGCCAATCTATTGTTGTTAGCAATAGTAATCCTCTTTCTTTCTTTCTTTTTTTCATTCCAAAATGACATTCTATTTTGTAGAAAAGAAGTTTCATTTGTACCGGCTTCGGGTTGAGAATTAGATTAAAAGAGGGTTTGTAGAACTCTCCCTCTTCAAGAGAGATTGAGAGAAGCCAAAGAGAGGTAAATGGCTGATTGGAAAGGACCTCTTTGAGAGAGAGACAGCAAAAAAACAAAAAAAGGACTAAATCCTGTAAAGAATAAAGGTTTCGTTTTACCAAATTTTGAGGAGATAATGTAGGACCAAAATTTACATGAGAGATATCTTCTCCACTTGTCAAAAAGAGGTCAGATGTTCAAGTCTTACAAGGGAAAAAATGGGTGTGTGTGTTTTAACTTAAAAATAAATAAATAAATAAAACAAAATTGAGAAAGGCAATTTTAGAATTATCAAAACTATATATACAAAATTAGTATATAGAAGATTATTCCCCGTTAGTGTACTGTTGCTCCCTCTCATACATAATTGTAGAATTTGTATCCTTGCTGCTTGCTTAACATCAATGAAAGGATAATTTTGCTTCTGCATTTAAATTCGATTGTTCTCCGTTTGACTTGTGTTTATTCTTACATGTATGTGGGTGAATGCGTGATGCGTGTTCTTTTTAGGAAGGAACCTCAGTTGAGTTGAAACAAGTAATAGTGTGAGTTTGTGCCGCATGGGTGCTAATTTGTAAGTGTTGGATCATATCAACTTTTATTCATCACCAACGGGCCAGTGGCCTAGCGGTATCAGTCTCTTACTTCCCAAAGGGAGGTCAGGGGTTCAAGTCTCAGAAGAGACAAGTGTGTGTGAGTACCAACTAGGAAAAAAAAAAAAAAACTTTTATTCATCGAAAGTAAGAATCGAACACTTAATCCCACCCAGCCCTCTTCTTGCCATGCCAGCACCTAACCCCTGTGCTATAATGGCTTAGGTTACATCACCTTATCATTTAATTCTCAGAAAAGCATGTAACACAAGGATAATTCATACACAAAATGAATTTAATTGGCAATCCACAATGGATCCCTGAACATAATAATAGTAAGACAAGACAACTTAAAACCTGAAGTACTGAGTTAAAAGAGCACACCTCCAATTGCATGTCAAAATTTTCACTTAGGATTATCTAAATCCAAACCCGTGCAGTAAAATTAGTTGGCTAACGCTTGTTGCATGAGTATATTACAATCGTATTAAGCTATATAAATAGGAGTCATGATACACCACAACAACAGAGGAAAAGGGAAGGATCAACTATTTCTAATTTAGAAAAGCGCAAGAGTTAAATAAGTTTGGACTGATAAGAACGTTACCTAAAATTCCGATAGTTTCAATAGCGCGAACGCAAATATGGTATGCCACACTCAAAATATGTGGTATGGCACGAATAGGATTACATATATCATATAGTTGAACTAATTATGCCAAAACGGTGACTTAAGTGTTCCATTATTCTATATAAGTTAGTCTTTTGCAGTGCTATGGCCCTTTCCTCTAATAAAAATAAATGAATCAATTAAAACTAACATATTGTTATATCTCAATATAATTTTCATATTAATTTAATTGAAAAAATAGGAAAATATTTTGAATTGTAAAATTTAGTGTCTGAAATGAAAGTGGGCCATGCTCTGGAATGTGCATACAAAATGGAAAAAATATGGGTGCCAGAATTTTCCAATTCAATGAAATGAAAGGTACCACTTTCCAATAAAAAAATACTATTTCCCAAAAAAAAAAAAAAAAAAACATTGTCAATAAAAACTAAGGTCCTGAATCCTGATGCCATCAACCACAATGGTAAAATCTGGTTTGAGTGGTTGATAATGAAGAAGTAGGAGAACCCAATTAAGTGATGGACACGCCAGAACAAGATGAAAAAACATTGACTTGATGGAAATAGTTCATAGAAAATTTGTAGACCGAAAAATCAAATTCTAACGATAATTCAATGTGAAGCTTGACCAAAACTTTATCATGTCTCTTCAACGAACTTTAAGAAAAAATATGTGTCTAAATTTAAGTTTTTACTTACTTAGGTTTCCAGGGAAGTTTTTCCATTGAATGAAACAGATTTTGAAGAGAGGCATCTGTTTAACTATAACCCTACACTACATGGGCTCTCCAAAAATGCACGAAGTACCTGTGTTTGACATACGATACTCGACCATGAATATGGGATGTGTCTCCAATTCGTATGGTTGGACATGTCCCTAACAAGCATGACTAATAATTCAAATTTATTATATAGTTATATATAGAACTCTTATATTATATTCCTTTCGCTTCAAAATAATTTAAAACATTATTTTGCTCTAAAAAATAAAATAAGGATATTAAATAATACGAATATTTAACCATGTTCCCTTATCCTTGATAAATCCAACACTTGGCCACATACTCTCACCCAACACACATATTTGAGTTCGAGTTAAATAATTGTGACCCACAAAATGTAAGACCAATTATATGGATAAAAGCAACTACTTTAAACAATGCTCGTGATCATCTCTGAGTCCCGAATTAATGTCCAGAACAAAATGCCAAAAACCTGACTTTTACCTACTGAAAATACTTTCATCTGTTCTGCTATTAATTTGTCAGATTAGTCACCCATACTGCCACTTCATATAACTGTACATCATTTCCCAATTATTCTTTTGCTAGGCCCATAGGTTTTTCCACTTCCAGATTACAAGGTTCACTCATTCCAATTAAAATCCAATCCCCGCGTTTTACAGACTATATTCACACTATGGAAACTCACCATGCCCAAAGCCGTTACCTTAGCAGCAATGAGGGGGATGCTGAAGGCAGGGCCTGTGACATGAGCTTTTGGTTTTATACCCATAAAAAGATACTTAGCATCCAGTAAAAGAGGTATTGAAGACTCCTCAAGTTGCATTGACCCCCAATTATGTTCTTACAATACCCAAAAACCCTGATGTATCACACTAAGAATTTTTCTAGAATTATGGAGCCCGTAGCTCAAAAGTGGTATGTCCTCGTCTTCCCATTGGGGGGGTTGAGGGTTCAAGTATCCTGTGGAGCATTGTGAGAGTGTTCCTTGAGTAGGGTGAGTGAGTTCTTACTTGCCAAAAAAAGAAAAAGGAGTGCAACTACAATTCACTAAATCGGATGCTAAAAGTTCAAACACTGGAATGTCCACCTTAAACATCCATGGCGTTCACACTGATACTCCCATATAAATTACACATCATATAGCAGAAAATGACAACCTAGAAATTAAGCAATATTACAAATTCTGGACGAAGGAAAGTCAAAAGATGGCAGTTTGAGTCTCACTTGAATCACAATTATATTCCCATATATTCCAAAGACAAATTCAAACAGTTTTCGCTATAATTCCGAAATGTTAATTTACTTATAGACGTATTTGAGAAAAAGGGGAAAAGTGAACCTGTCTGAGGACGTTATCAGCGATCCGGTAGTAGAATCGGAGCGAGATCCGATTGTCCACATCGAGCTTCTGAGTCCTTGCGGCGATGTTGATTCCTTCTGAAGAAGACCTCATCCTCTTGTCTCAGATAAATTTTCTTTTCTTCCCTTCTCTAATAAAGCAACATTCTCTCGGATCGGAAAATCCAGAAGAACAAGGGACCCTATTGCTCAGGGCCAGACCTCAGTAGGTCGGTCGTCAATGGCGGCGTAGGTTCAGATGTTAGAGAGAGAGAGTCAGAGTCACAAACAAGGTCGAGGACGATAGAAACAAGAAGGTCATTCAAGTTACTGGTGAGGGCAAAAATGTAATGACATAATCTAATGATCTGTTTGGAGGCCTAACAGTCTTAACAAATCAACAGTATCTTAAACCACTGTGCAGCCACTTGGAATGGGATTTAGTAACCAACTTCAAAGGGCAAAAAAACAACCATTTCATTTATTAATGCTCAATTTCTCTCCTTTGACGTAGAATACAAGCGGTAATGATATCACTGAACATAAAATTTAGTCAGTGTATGTATGATGATTGCTATATATGATTTTTAGTAACTATCGTTTTTAATTCAAATCATATTCAAGAGTCATCATTTATAGTGAAAATCTCTCTAACATAACAAATTTAAATTAAGCCCACAAATTTAGGGTATGAAATGGAAACATTTAAAGAGAATAAAATATTTATTATACAAGATGGAACATATATTTTTTTTTTTTGGGTAAAAAAATCAAATTTACTAACATTCAGTTATTTTACTGTAAATTTTATTTTTTAACTCCTCCTCCTGAAAGATGAGAATATTATATTATTAGTTTATATGTAATTTGGTCATGTCATGATTATTTTTTTTTTCGTTACATTTAAACAATCAACTGATTCTAATGGTAAGTATTTATGAAATTCAAAATTTTCCAAGATTTATAAAATTGAAATCAGACCATTAATTGGGCAGAGATTAACTGTTCAAGCATAAATATGGAACAATGTGCTTATATTGGTTCCGAACTTCCGAGTTGATAATCAGTCCAAATTGCACTCCAACATTAATTTAAGGCGGGTAAGTTGGGATTGGGCCTCGCCTCCATCAACCATTGAGGCAACTGGGATTGGACCTCGCCTCTACTGGACTAACGTCAGCTTGGGCTTATAAAAGCTGATAGGAAACAATATTTAACCACCTTTCATTGTCATTGACACACACACAAATATACGTAGTAATAAATAAATATGTAATCACAAATTAATTTTTAGGAATAAAAAAAAAAAAATCTGAGGCCATGGCGTTTTGAAAGAGGTTTGTAGCTATGGGTCTTAGTTTGTAGTGAGTTTTAGAAAAAAAATATGAGTTGGCCCCACAACCCAAGTGTATAGAGAATTTTAGAGGCTCCAATCCCAAAGCCCGTAAAATATTTCACTTGGGCCCTTTAATTCGGTTGAAATAAGCCCAGATTTGAATAGGAAAATAAAACCCATTAGAATACATGTGACGTATTAATAAAATAGGAATACTATAATTAAATAGAACCTTTCCACATTATTTTACATTAAATAATTGATCTCAAACTGGAATCTACTACATACTTGTGCTTATAATCTAAATCTACCTTATCCTTTACAGTCTACACCAATTAATTGTAAAAATTTTTATTAAATTTTTTTTTTTTGTCTGTTTGGTGGGAAGGTAAAACAATTGTAACATCTATTTAAGTTTGAAAATATGTGTTTTTGGTTTGCAAGCTTGAATCGCTCAATGAAGTTGATATGTGGTGACTTCATAGTTGTTGACCCAAAATTAAATAATTCTTTTTCTTTTTCCTGGGTAAATAAAATTAAATAATTCTTTCAAGCTGGTTTGTGTTTTTTGAGAATTAATCAAGCTTTAATCTCGGCTAATACACTATGCACAATTTGTGTAGATATATGTAGTGGAAGACAGTTGCATGCAATATTTTGGATCTTGTCAACTTCTGAGAGTTATTTATTTTCTAAAAAGAAATTGTTGGTGAAACCGTCCAAAAAATATAGGCCTCAACTTAGTCTGAAGCATTGAAAATTGTCGTCTCAAGGGTTTCATTTCATCCATGTGCAAGGCCCCCCCGAAGAATTGGAAACCGCATAATCTCAGCTGGCAACACACAGGGTGGCGGTGACTTGTGTGCTTTGAGAGTTGGGTCTCTTCACGCATCTGTGATGGTGACCATGGATCCAGAAAGTCTAATTCTTCAACCTTGTCTTATGACAAAAGGATTATCTTTAATTTGCTTTTTCTCCTCAAAACTTTAGACTCATTTGCTTGGTTGGAACTTGGGATCAAGCGATGAGTGATATTCCGTACAAGCAAATTGAATAATCATTCTAAGACTGACACCGTTGCCTACCCATCCTTCTTGACAAGCCCGTAGGGGGTTTACTGCACAAGGCCCCTGCAGAGGAAAGCTTTCTCCCAGCGAATATAAGATACTTAGCTCCGCACAACATAGGGATTAGTACGCTTTCGTTCTATAGTTATTAGTTCATGCTATGGGTTGGTCTTTTTTTTTAATCCTAACCCGAAAAAAATTAACAAGTCACACACTAAACATAGCAATTATATCAAATGGGGCTAACGTGGGATCCGCTCAAGGACCTACTGGTTTAGGTAAATATCTAATGCGTTCCCCGACTAGAGAAGTCATTTTTGGAGGAGAAACCATTGAAATGCGTTTTTGCTTTCAGTTTTATGTTCTGCTCTAAACGATGCCCATGAGTGAGCTTATAGGAATGCTTTATTTTGATGAACCAACCGGACAATTACAAACAGCAATCCATATTATGCAAGGAGACATTACTTTTGCTAATTCGAATTGAAGGATGATATAAAATCTGTCTATTTCCGGCATCATATCCATAGTTTGCGTATTCATCATAGTTAGCAGCCGATTCAATACATTTCTTATGTACCCATAGATGCTATATTGGATTTGAATTGGATTTAGGATCAATCTATATTGCTTGACTGCCTCCATTATATTGTTGCTAGCAAATACCACTATTTTTGGTTTTGGATCTTCCAAATCGTTCCTGCAGGAGATCCGGACTCATTTTTTTCTGATCCTTCGATAAAAAGATTTATTCTCTTCATGAAAAATAGGAGGTAAAACCAATAAAGATTTCTTTTTCGATTCATTCCATTATATTGACAATTTCCAAAACTGTTCATACTATGATCAGAGTCTAATGGCAGTTGGGCAAGTATGCCCCTATCGTCTAGTGGTTCAGGACATCTCTTTTTCAAGGAGGTAGCGGCGATTCGACTTCCCCTGGGGGTAGGGTGTAGGGTACTACAAAAGAAAATTGATCGTGGATTATCAATAGGCCTCAAATTGATTCTTGCTGGTTCGATGCCCGAGCGGTTAATGGGGACGGACTGTAAATTCCTTGGCAATATGTCTATGCTGTTGATCTTCGATCTCAAGGAAAATGGTGTCTAGTTGCTTACTCCGTGAGTTTTTAGATGAAGAATGAAAGTGGATAGGCGAAAAAGTAGGAATATTTGATTGTTGACTTGGCTGGCGATTCAGCATTGACCACTCGGGGATCTTTGCCTACCTACCTTAGCCCTTATAAAAAGAAAACTGATTCTTGAACCCCTTTCACGCTCATGTCACGTCGAGGTACTGCAGAAGAAAAAATTGCAAAAGGCCCCTAAGTGACCGCTAAGTGATAAAGGAGGTAGGGGTGCAGAGACAGTCAGGGGGTAGTATGGGATCTGTAGTTAGGGAGAAAATTACCTGTTTGGTTGAGTATGCTACCAATAAATTTCTACCTCTTATTATAGTATGTGCTTCGGGAGGGGCACGCATGCAAGAAGGAAGTTTGAGCTTGATGCAAATGATTCCTCTATCCGTAGAGTACATTGAATGTACAGAAATGGCTATAACAGAGTTTCTCTTATTCGTATTAACAGCTAGCACCTGTGGTTCTACTTACCAAACTTCTTTACGGGTGGTACCCTCAATCTCACGATGATGCGTCACCCACATACTTAAAAGGATTTCCATACGATTATCACTCAGGGCTACCATCACACTAGATAGATATTATATTTATGGAATACGATTCACTTTCAAGATGCCTTGGTGGTGAAATGGTAGACACGCGAGACTCAAAATCTTATGCTAAAGAGCGTGGAGGTTTGAGTCCTCTTCAAGGCATAATATTGAGAATGCTCATTGAATGAGCAATTCAATAAGAGAGCTCGGTCCCATTGGGGGTTCGCTATGCCAAAAGTGAGAGAAACCCCATCCCTCTCTTTCCTTTTTTTCGTCCCCATATCGCCACACGGGAGACATGTCTGTCTATGAATAACTGCATGCATTGCACGGTGGATGTGAAGAAGTAGACCATTATTCCGGCAATAATGAGCCAAACTAGTAAATTTTATATGATTTTCACATATCTATATTTATTTTTTATGAAGAGAATATTATCTAGAGAAAAAATAGATAGATAATGAGAACCTACTAACACGATCGCTGGATCCAGATTGAATCTAAGTTCATAAACCACTTCACTTGTAATGAGTTTGGTGTTGGGATTTATATGCCCTGGCATAGCAAATTCCTATCTGGATTGTATTGACATATGTTCCTGACATATCTGAAATATTTATGATTTATATAATTGGTGAATTCAATGTATTATGTTTCGATTCACTATGAAATTGATAGTGTCCAGTTAATTGCAAGAAATATTTATATATATGTATGTGATGACAATCAATGCATGATATATAAATAGTAATTATAAATTGTTCATAGTCGGTAATTATGGATGGACTCATAATTAATTAAGACTTGAACTGGATCCGCGTTAGGTTGAGATATATTGCGAGAGCCGTCATATGCAATTACTCCCTATCACCGTCATGGCATTTGACTCTTAAGTATGAGAAAAGTATAGACTCTTTTATTAATTAATAATTACTTTGATTTGTTCGGCGGATTCTTCGGGATCCTTAGACCGACACTTTGGGTAGTTATATAATTAATAGTTAGAGGGTTATATTTTCAATATTTCCATCATTGCTACTTGTATTTATTTTGTATTGATTATGGTTGATCACAAAGTAAATTCGAAGGCCTTCGTGTGTTTTTAGACAAAATGATTTATTATATATTTATTTATTTAAATTATTATTTTTGTCAAACAAATGTTTTATTGTGATCGAGCCAGAAATAATCAAAGGTACCAAAATAAATATATTAATTAAGTAGTCGGATTGATGGCTATATTTATCCGATAACTAATTATGCATAGAGGGGTCAAAGTGCAATATTGACTTA